TTGTCACGCCTACAGCTACAAAATCAGAGGTAGACTAAGTGCCTCTGTTTTTCACGTATCGTGGTCATGATGAGACCCTGCGATTGGGTCAGTATAAATTTGAAAGTCTAACACAAAACCTCAAGTTGTCGTGAAACGTGCCTTCGCTCATATAGATTTTATCCATTTTGCAGCTATTACGAGACAATCCCAGTCGACTCGACCGCACCAACGACAGCTGGCCATGGTGCTGGTATTCCTCCAGGACGATCAATCGAAGCAGAACAGATAATACAACCAACTCCGATTGCTGCGGCCACGTTGTCGCTCCTCGTAGAGTCTATCATGGTCACTCTTCCAGTGAACTAAAATAGGTTGCTTGCCGTTCCTGAGTCATAGCTACTATAACAACAACACATTGCCTGGATGGTGCGGGAAATGACCAAAACAGCGAAACTCAAACGAATTGGCGGCAGCTCGATCGCACTGGCTCTTATCATATCTGATATACACACTAGGGGCTGAGGACTTTCGATTGGCCTTTTGACCAGCCGCAACAACCTGGAACGCATGGAGTAGTAGTGACACTCCAGCTCAAAGACTTTAGTGGTTTTGACGTTGAACTGTAATAATTTTTAAAAACCAATTGATATAATAATAAGACAAAACCTCAATTATTCGCGAAAAAATGCAAAATATCCAAACGTAGCATCCGCCAATCAACTCCAATGCAACTAAATGCATCCACCAATCAAATATGAAAAGTATAAACCAACACCAAACCATCGAGTTAGCGGTGTAACGTTATGCAGGAGTGTTCCTATCTTTGGACGCATGCCTTAGTGATGGGGAAGAATGATCACACTTCTGTCATCAGTGCTGCTCATAGAATCTTGTAATATTTGCGGCTGTGTGCAAATGTATTTTTTAGTGGTGTTATTATATTACTTAGATTTATTATGTATTTATTTGGTTCACGGTTTGTACCATGGAAAGTGCGTATACGGAGTTGGCGTCTAAGCGTGCATCAAGGGACCGCAGACGTGCGCAAAAGCAGCTATCGCTGTCAGCCAAGCAGAACGAACGCGCTGGTGCCGGAATGTTGGACGTCGTGATGAAGAACAAGTTTTTGTTGGCGAAGGAAGACATGAAGTGTACGGGAGCCGCGTGCTTGAAGATAACACGAAGAAATGTTACCAAAAGCATTATCTGTGGTCTGAGGTACTTCTTTGGGCTTATTCGTGACTACTCGTCATTAATATTGCTACGTCATGACGCTCCCACGTTTGCCCCGGTGATGTCAGTGAAGAGTTAATGTGCCTACTTTAGGTACAAAACAGGCTCCAGGCAACGCTTTGTTGTTATAGTAGCTATGACTCAGGAACGGCAAGCAACCTATTTTAGTTCACTGGAAGAGTGACCACGATAGACTCTACGGGGGGCGACAACGTGGCCGCAGCAATCGAAGTTGGTTGTATTATCTGTTCTGCTTCGATTGATTGTCCTGGAGGAATGCCAGCACCATGGCCAGCTGTCGTTGGTGGCGGTCGAATCGACTGGGATTGTCTCGTAATTGCTGCAAAATGGACAAAATCTATAACGTGGGGCACCAGTCATCAGCATCGCTCTATGCTTACTTTGTTCGTCGATTTCTCGTTGACTACAACACATATTGAGGTGATACAAATATCAAAATAACCGCAAGATTCAGCTCATGAATTGAGGTTCAAAGGATATCAATTTCAATAGTAAACACGTGAGTAAGGATTTTCAATGATCATATTAGCTATCATAGGAATATGTGTTTAGAATGGGTATTAACTGCTACAGTAACAACGATTTGTGTATGATCAAGACAAAATTGACTGGCCCAACCTCTAATTTATAAGGGGCACTAATTCTTGAAGAACTACATTTTGATCAATAAGAGGTATTCGGGTATTTCTATTGGCTTAGAACAGTGCCGATGACTGGTGTCTTTGCCGATGACTGGTGCCCTACGTTATGTGCGAAGGCACGTTTCACGACAACTTGAGTTCTTGTGCAGACTTTAAAATTTATACTGACCCAATCGCAGGGTCTCATCATGACCACGATACGTGAAAAACAGAGGCACTTAGCCTACCTCTGATTTTGTAGCTGTAGGCGTGACAAGATGGGTTGTACGCACTTTTAATTAAACGCATTCGTCCATTATGCACAGGTGGACTCTACTAATCGGTGATCGTAGCAATTCACGTCTCGATGAGTTTACTCTTTGCCGCACCAGGTCCCTTGGAGCACCGTAAACATGGTACATTCAGCTTGACTCAACCCTTGAGGCAAACAAATGTTCATCAATGCAGAATAGCAACCAGTGCAGCCATTGCAGGTGGACGGCAGGTAGGGCGTCAAAGGCGAAGTAGGGAACGGAGGGGGTGTAACGGGGGACGACGTTATCGGGAAAGAAGGGAACGGACGGCGGGTACTGGTGGCGGGGGTCCACGGATCTGATGTGCTGGGTTTCGACGGCGATGGGGACGACGTCATAGGGAAAGAAGGGAACGGACGGCGGGTACTGGTGGCGGGGGTCCACGGATCTGATGTGCTGGGTGTCGACGGCGATGGGGACGACGTCATAGGGAAAGAAGGGAACGGACGGCGGGTACTGGTGGCGGGGGTCCACGG